TATTATAGTATACTGAAATTAAAATACAGTTCTTCTATTTTAAAGCAGAAGTCAACAAAGGCTAAAACAAATATGCATCACTAAACAACAACCATAACTGCCACAGAAATTACACGTACGGGATATTTCTACAAATACACACGTTCAGATCAATATATCCATGAATTATTTTATGTCCTTGGCGATTTTTATGTGTCAGGAACATAGATAGAATGCAGAGGTAACAAAATCACTGATTATATAGCTGCTCTTTTGAGTCCATGTAAAAAATATATATATGAAAGTTTTAACATTCTTATTTGTTACACACACACGCCCACCCACACCTTTATTAATTTCAAAATCTTGGTTACAAAAATGAAAAAAAAAAACAACCCACAATGAATAAATAAATAAAAATAATCAGGTAAATTCATAAAATAAAATATTGAGAAAAAAAGTGTTACAAGAAAAAGGAAAGATTACTTAGGTAAGACAACAGAGCATAATTAATTACACCAAAAAGGGGGAAGTTTTAAAAGTATACATGCTTCCCACCAGCAAATTGTGGCACTTAATTAGTTCTGATAAATTTCTATTGTTTATTGGCCCAATCACAGTTTTTCATTCTCTGATAAATTTGCATTATATTTCTTTCTTTTTGCATTATGTTTCCTTGTTTTTGCATTGTGTTTACTAAAAAGTACACTGCTCTACGCCAATCAAATTCACAGAGAAATTTTTTCATGTATATTATTAACTTTCACAATAAAATACCATCTACCATAAACAACTACCGGTATATCAGTACCTGCTGAATGACTTTGCTCTTGTTCACCTGGCAGAGAGCTTTCCATGCTACATTCAAGTTGGAGGACTTCACTTTCATGTTCTTCTATGGCTAAGAAGATAAGATATAATCTTAATAAGTTGGGCAAGCAGATTGTGACACCTGAGGCTGATTGGTTCTTATATATTTCTATTGTTCAGTGTTATCCAGACGTTTTAGAATAGCCAGCTCCCAAAGCAAAGAAACTGGTGCCTGACACCAAGCACTGATAAAGCGAGAGTACTGTATCTAAGGGAGGGGTTTGGGGGCATTAAGCCCAGAGATCTGAGAAGTTTTGCTCGTTATTTACAAGCTTTTCCAGAGTTCTCCCAAGAACCAAGTGAGTTATCATGCTGGTAAATCCATAGAAAATGTGGTCTTTTACTTTTATAAAATAACTTTAAAGCATGTTTCAGTTTACTATGAGATTACCAGCACAATAAACTATTGGTTTTTAACCAATCAGAATGCATGTACTATCTTAGTTATTTTATAATTAAAAAATATTATCTGGCAATGTCTCATCAAAAATCATTCAGTAAATATATCGATAATACCATTAGCAAAAGGCAAATTGTCATACACCAAAGAGCTTTTTGTACGACAAGCTATTGTTTTTGTTTCTTTTAGGACCTTCTGAAAAATTCAAGATAAAAGGTACAGGCAGTTTTTTTTACTGTTTTGAGTCATAAGAGTAGCCAGCGAAACCACCAGTCGCCTGCGCTTCTGGAGAACACTGATTGTTCACAGGTTTTCATTCTCTGAGAAATTTGCACTTTATTTCCTTATGTTTGCATTATGTTTCCTTGTTTTTTTTACTGTGTTTACTAAAAACTGCACCGCTCTAAGCCAATCTCATTCAAGAAATTTTTCCATGTATATTATTAAGTTTTATAATAAATACCATCTACCATGAACTATATCAGTACCTGCTGATTGACTTTGCTCTTGTTCACCAAGCAGAGAGCATTTTCTGCTACATTCAACCTGGAGGACCTGACTTTCATGTTCTTCCATGGCTAAGAAGATAAGCAAGCAGATTGTGACACCTGAGGCTCATTGGTTCTTATATATTTCTATTGTTCAGTGTTCTCCAGAAGTTTTAGAGTAGCCAGCTCCCAATGTAAAGTAACTGGTGCCTGACACCAAGTGCTGGTAAAGCGAGAGTACCGTATCTAAGGGGGGGTTTGGGGGCATGAGGCCCAGAGATCTGAGAAGTTAAGCTGGTGGTTTACAAGCTTTTCCAGTCTTCTCCCAACATCCCAAGTGGGTTATCACACCAGCAAACCTTTAGAAAATGTGGTCTTCTACTTTTATAAAATAACTTTAAAGCATGTTTCAGTTTTCTATGATTTTACCGGCACAATAAACTATTGGTTTTTAACCAATCAGAATGCACGTACTATCTTAGTTATTTTATAATTAACAATTATTCCACGAGGGCACGTTGGATATGAGATGGACAATAGCCAACGAGATGCATAGCGCCGAGTTGGCAATAATCATCTCATCCAACAAGCGCAAGTGGAATAATTATTTTATTAAAAACGCCCACAAAATCCCTTTGAATCTTGTTAGAACAAACCAGAAAAGACAAGGGAGTTCCGCTATTCACACGTCACATGTCTATCAGAACTGTCAACGCATGAACCGACTCGCCTGGACTGGATGAATGAAAAATCAAAACATTGTAAAGATGATCACTTTTAAAAACTCATCGAGATTCTAGGATTTTACACAGCGGGACAGCTAAAAAATCCTGGCAGATAATGTGAAGAAAAATAATTCTTAACAGCCATCAAAATTACTGTGAATTTGGATTTTTGGAGCAGTTACAAAAGTAAGAACAACGGAGAAAAACTATTACCTTGGTCGCTTGTTATGACGTTGTTTGAAGCCACAAGCTGGTTTTGCTGAACAAGAAAAGAAGCTTTACTGACGCCTCGATTGCTGTAGTGAATGGCTGCATAGCATGTATTCTAGTTGCTTGTGATTTATATTCTTCATGTCGGATAAACAAGCCGCAGCTATCTATCGGCAAGTGCCTCAGCGAGTGGCTTCGCAACCATGAATAAACAACACCTGTCTTCTTTTGTAGCTGTTCAAGGCACTTTAGTTCCATGTATTTTCATGTGTTTTTCGATAAACTTTCAAACAAGCTCTTGTGGCTTTTTTGTTTGTTTGTTATTTTCTCGGTGAAATTGCATGTTCTAGTATTCTAAGAAATGAATTAACACGATTTGCTTCGGGTGCCGTTTTATCCTTCGCGGAAAAAAATGGAACTTACGAAAAATTGAAGATAAAAGTTACGGACAGTTTTTTTTTATGTTTTGACTCATAAGAGTAGCTGGCACTTTGGAAAAGAGTTCCCAGTGAAACTGCCAGTTGCCCGCGCTTCTGGAGAACACTGATTGTTTATTAGCCAATCACAGGTTTTCATTCTCCGAGAAATTTGCACTTTATTTCCTTATTTTTGCATTATGTTTCCCTGTTTTTGTACTGTGTTTACTAAAAACTGCACTGCTCTAAGCCAATCTGATTCAAGAAAGTTTTCCACGTATATTAGTAAGTTTTATAGGAAAATTCATTACCTGACGAGGGAATTCCACGTTAAATTGCACACGAAAACCGATATCGGTTTTCAAGTGCAATTTAACGTGGAATTCACGAGTCAGGTAATGGATTTTCCTTGAATCGCATAATCAAATAAAAATCAGAAAAAAAAAAAGAAAACACCAATAATATTGTTTGTTTTTATCCTGAGCACGCGCCCCAGAAAGCCATTTCAAAGTCAAATGTCAAACCTGTCATTGCATTAGCGAATAGGAAGCAAGGTCATACACGTTTGAACCTTTGACAACTTTTTTTGTACCTTGCGCTTGTTTTTACATTTGTTTGCAAACTTTTTTACACACGAACAAGCTTCACACTAATTGTAAGGATAAATAGAGGTATTTCACTGAATTTACAAGCCGGTTATCTATAACATCCTTTTTCAAATTGGTCATTTGCTCGCGAAGGAAAATAATTTACACCTTTTACCTCTTCGTTAGCAAAACTGAAAGAAATGAAGTGTCCAAGGCAAAGCACTGAAAGTTTAACGTTGCGATTGATATAAGGTAAGTACCTTGAAATGTTTTAAAAATGCTGTTCAAGTTCAGCTCTGTTTTGTACTTTTCTAAGTACCACGATTCAGGATGAATGCAAGTGGCGTACTCTTTTTCGTGTTTTCAGGGACAATGTGATCTTTGAAGGTATTTATTTCTTCTTCTGTATAAGTGACAATTGACCCTGGCACTTCCTCCATTGTCGCTTCTCCGTTTTGTTTGTTTGAATTTGGCTTGTTATTTTCTGGGCTGTGTTCACAGGATTTTCTTGTTTTCTCATTGTCGCTAGCGAAAGGGGTTTTTTATACCTCTCCAAGAATTTGTAGTTTAGTTCAAAACAAGGAAGAACCTCCGGATCACTTTAAAAAATGCTTTTGTTTGTTTTTAACTATTTATTTATTTAGTCACTCACAAAACCTTATACAACATAAACAAAAGGTGTTCATTAAATTACAAAATTAATGTGACAAGGAAGTCTAACGAAGCTTGAAGCTTATATTAATAGGCTTCCTTCAACTACCTAGAGAACTAAATTCATGGCTGAGTGCAGAGTGAGCAAGATCAGAAAATTAAGCGACAGATCGGTTATCAGTGAGATAATTCTTTAAATTTTTTTTAACAACAAATATAGAAGGAGAGCTAATTAGTGAAACAGGCAACGAATTCCAGATTTTAGGTCCTCGGTAAAGGATGCTGAATTGCTTTATATTTGATCTACAAAAATGAGGTCTATACTGAGAGGCCAGTCGAATTTTGGTATTGATGGACTTCAGATTACTACTTAAGAACAAGTCACGAAAGCTACTAGGCAAAAGATTATGGTGATAACAATACATAAAAGTAGTGACAGAAAATATATTAATACTAAATATGTCAAGAACTTTAAGCTGGCTAAACAAAGGGGCGGTATTTGCTAGATAGTGAGCTTTTGTTATGAGCCGCACTAGACGCTTTTGCAAAAGGTAAATAGAGTTTAGGTTGGAACAGTAGGTGGAGGACCAGGCGACATTACAGTATGTTAAGAAAGGATATACAAAAGGTGACAATGATTTTGAAAACATTTTAAAATGACATTGTAGAAAACCTTTTTTGCAGTTGTTGTGTTACAATTTGACGATAGTTGTTACGTAGATGCGAAAAAACATCCCTTAGCCTCGTTTTCAACTCGCAATTCCACACTGAATACCTCTCTTCGTTATTGTTTGATTTTACTCAATGATGCAATTCTATAATAAATACCATCTACCATGAACTATATCAGTACCTGCTGAGTGACTTTGCTCTTGTTCACCAAGCAGAGAGCATTCCATGCTACATTCAACCTGGAGGACCTGACTTTCATGTTCTTCCATGGCTAAGAAGATAAGATAAAATCTTTAGTTGGGCAAGAATTTTCCCTCACCCCTACATACACCTATTGTTCAAAGAAAACATGTCAGAACAATACAGAGCCAAAAGTTGTGATTTCTGGTTTAACTCTTATGGGGAATTGTTTTTAAGAATAAACGAGCTGAGCTTGACAATATTCCTGGAAATATTATTTACTACACTGTACCCTCCAATGAATGAACAACTTGATAACCACACTCAAAACTGGTTTATAATATTTCCCCATCTCTCAACACAAGGAGTTTTTGAGCATTTATGATCACATAATTTTTGTCTTAACTTGGCTATTACTGCAAAGTACAATGTCTTCAATACAGTAAAAACCTAGCTGTGACTAAGAACCTGGTTTTTAGGAACCTGTTTGGCTAAACTTGCCAGTTATAATTAGGCCCCAGGCTCTATACAAGAACCTGTTTAGCCCAATATTTGACACACATCTTTATTTTCTCAAATCTATAAAAAAAATTCTATACACCTGGAAAATATTCAGGTGAACCTCTTTGGGAGACATAAGCTGCAATGTTTTTTTTCCTGTAGAAAATAAGAACCCTTTCATTTTAGAAAAATTGACAAATTT